AAGCAGCCAGACTGCTTCACCAAAGGATCCTCAGGAGGCTGCATATAGAGCGGCTGATTGTTCCTTTCCTCAGTCGCTTGTTGTCCCTGTAAGAAGGCATTCTTGGCGTCTGAAATCCAACAAAACCACTTCTCCGAAGTGCCGTTGAATCTTCTGTTGGAGCCGGAGGCCAAAATGGCGAGAAGCAAAAACTCGGAGGTCCGTGAAGGTGTTGGTGAATCTCTACTCAGGGAGGTGATGTCAGGATCTGCGCAGCCGATCAAAACACATCGAGCCTTAGCAGCCAGGGTGCCGATACCGCGGTTCTTGTCGCGGTACGCCATGCGAGAGCGCAGCACTCGCCGCCGCAAAATGCGGTCTTTGAAGATCCGTTCAGCTTCATCGGAGGGTACGGGTTGCACTCCGGACCATCGCTGCCAGCCATCGAACTCCTTCTGAATGGCAAGGATGTACTTGTCGATGGTCATCTTATCCATCAGCATGATGGAACGCCATGGGATCTCCTTTTCATACTGCTTCTGCTCTTGGCGGGTTCTCACCTTGGCATTGCTTAGGGTCAACTGCTCATCATCAGAGGTCTCAGCATCGGAGACTTTGGGGTCTCCATCTTTCACCTCTTGCTCCCGCTGGACGCTGTTGAGGTAGAAAGTCATGTAGATCTGTGATCTGTGGAAGCCAACAGTGTCAGGGCTTCCGTCAAAGCCTGGGAACTTCAGGCACATGGTGTTGTCGTCGAAGATGTCCCATCGGTGCGTGAACATCACCGACGCCAGCATAGCGTCAAAGGGCCTTTTGGCCGGCATGTCGGGCAGGAGTGCTTCAGTGGGCATACCATCTCCTTGACCGGCGCTTGCTGAAGCTGTGGCTTGCTCTGGAGCCGGGGTGTTTCCACTGGTTTCGGTTGCTTCTCCTGCTGCAGGTGTGAGAGGTGCAGATGCTGGTCTTTGTTTTTCATCTGCATCTCTGAGAGCTGATTGTTCAGCTGGTGCCGGTGTAGCTGGTTGTTCAAGCGTGAGCTTGACTCTTGGTGCTGGTGAACGGCATCTGGCGATTCTCCTTCTTGGAGTTGGAGGCATTGGCGTCGCGGGCGCGCCAAACTGTTGGTATGTTGGCGAACTCACATTGATGGTGACCCGTCGCTGGTCATAATTCTGCTGTTGCTGCTGAATCACTTGAGGGCTGACAGCAGCACGGTCTTCAGATCGTTGAGGTACTGGAAGACGAAGACCTGTTGGTGGTGAAGCCGTCGATGGAAGCATTGTGCCTTCAGCAGGTACTTCAGGGCTGGCCACTTCAACGGGCAGTCGCTTCCGGAAAAATGTTGTGGTGCCTGTCCAAGGCTGCTCGTAGAACTTTGCAGATCTCTCATCACGCCACTGGTCGATCTCAGGCTGCTCTTCAAGGTCGTGGATGTAGGTCTGTCTGTCGTCTGCCAAGGTGTCGAGGGGCAGAGGACATTCATCTTGTGGTTGTGGAGCATAAAGTTCATGCCGAGGTTCAACATGTACTCGCACGGCACCTGCGTCGGTGAGCTGCCAGTAGTCGCGGCTTCTGGGAAGCGTCTCAGGCGCCAACTGTCGAACTTCTTCCATTGTGGCCTCATCAGCGAACTGCTCTTCATGCTCGCCTGGTGGACCTTCAATTGAATCTTTCCACAAACCATCACGAAGGTTCTTCTCCGCGTCCTTGAGGAACTTCACATCTTCCGCTGAGGGCGACCAGGTCTCCCAGCCGCTAGCCACTCGCAATTGGCTCACAGCCACCTTCAAGGTGTGCGCATTCACTTGAATCCAGCAGCTGCGTCGGTCAGGATCATAGGCCAAAAACCTAGCCAAGTTCCAAGAGCCACGCTTGAGTTGGCGAGCTTTGCCACTCCAGCGCCAGTATGCCACTGTCTGTCCAGGCTGTAGTGAGCTGAGGTCCTGAGTGTGCCGAGTTTTGCGAAGCAATGCTCTCTTCATGGCCTGGCTTGCACTCGTTTCAGCCAGAATCTTCATAGCATCTGCTCTCAGGATCTCGGGCTTGTAGGTCCGCTCGATGTCATCGGGCGAGTAAACCAAAACGAGTTCATCGCTCACCACATCGCCCAGAGGCCTTGGAATCTTGCCGAACACGGCCTGAAATGGACTGCGGCCGTAGGTGTAGGTGCAAGCGTTGAGGGAGTACAAAGCCGCCACAATGAGATGCTGTAGGTGGTCCACAGTGTGGCAGGCATGTTCATCGGTCAAACGCTCCAACAAAGTGCGAAGAAGAGCGTTCCGACGTTCTATCTTGCCGATCCGGTTGTGCATCTCGGCCGGCACAATCTCGTGCATGATGCCGTGAGTGGCATGCCATCTTGCAACTTCACCTTGAAATGCTCCATCCGGATCGCACCTGAACCGATGAGGTAGTCCAAGTGGCCGGTACCAGATCTCAATCAGTGCTTCCAGCATTGTCGCCGGAAGGCGATTGGCCAAAGCTTTGGCCGCATGGTAGTTCGTGGCTTCACAAACCACGCCAAGCGCCGGAATGGTCTCGCCAGTGAGGAGTCGGTGGTAGACGATGTCCGCCTGAAGCACTTCTCCAAAGAAGCCGGCGTAGACGGTGCTGGTAGACGAAGTAGTTGGTCTCTTGGGCCGGCCTGTTCTGATGCAGCTCCCACACCGCAAAGCATCCAAAGCGGACAAAAGCTTGGGTGACAATGAATTCGAAGCTGCCAGTAGCCGTGCCACTTCCTCCTTTGGAGCATGACCCAAATTGCAATGCAATCTTGCCACAGAAGCCTTCATGGATGAGGTCAAGCCAGGTGGAGGGTTCTCAAACCAAATATCTGTCTTCATGTTTGGTACCAGGGTGCTGGAAGGAAAACCGCACGCCTCCTCCGCGTCCGGTCCATCTTCCGCAGCTCCTGGGTTTTCAGCCATCTCTGCCTCCTCAGCTGGAGGTTGGTGGTAGAAGAAGGTCTCAATGTCGGTGGCCTTCTTGAGCTTCTTGTGAACGAGGCGGTCTGGTTGGTTCATAGGATCTCGAAGATCTTGGATCAACTCGCCGGTGTTCTTGTCCTTTGTCACACGCCTGGTCACTGTGTGCCAGGCAGGTCCTCCACGCTTAGTGGTCTGCAGTCGAGTGGCTGAAAGGTCGGTTTTGGGCCAAACCGATTCTCCAGAGTCAGGCGGCGACTCCGTTGAAGGCATCTCTTCATCCTCAGGGGCGTTACCAAAGAAGAAAATGCCCAGTCGAACAGGCTGTGCGAACCTCTGCTGTGGATAGTTGACAGCTGCCAAATCTTCTGCTTCGACAATGATCTTGCCGTCTGCCATCTTGAGAGCTGCTCCACGATGAGTGAAGGGAATCTTGAAAGCAGGCCAACGTCGTGCGGCTGGTGTCACAGCCACTTGAACTTTCTCAAGATGCCATGGGATGAGGTTCATCAGCTCTGTGTAGATGAGGTCGCTCTTGTTCAGGTCGAAGGCGCGGGTGTAGGTGTTCTCAAAGCGCTTGTCCAAAGTGTCAAGGACGGCGCGCCAACGCTGCTCATCTGCCAGAGGTCGTACAAAGAAAGCATCCTTGGCAACTTGGAAACGAGCAGGATTCCTCGGTCGAGCTTCGCGTTGTAGTCCGCGGAGAATTGCATTCACGAGTCCTTGGCAGTATTCTCCGCTGTGGCTTGTGTCCTTGCCCTCGATGGGTTTGGTGTACATCTTTTGCCCTGGTGTCAACTTTTGACTCAGCTCTGCCAAAATGGTCGGCGAGTCGGAGATCCATCGATGGGCCTTGATCATAGGGAAGCCATCGGTAGTTTCAGCTCCATATGCACCGGCATCACATACGCTGGTGCTCACATTGTCGAGCTCTGCCAAGGAAAGGATGTCAGGCTCTTGCCAAAGCCTTGATCTCAACACATTCTCACCCAAGAAAAGCCTCCCCTGAGCATGTTGTTCTTTGCAAAGGCCGACAGTGAAGCGCACCAGTTCTCGCTCTTCATCACGAAGGGCTTCCAACTCATGCAAGCGATGCGACCAGTTCATGTTCTCGTTGAACAAGCTCCAAAGGCGGCGTGGCCACGCCACGTGCAAAAGAAGGGGCTTGTGGTGCTGCAACACATGCTTTGCCAACTTCCGACCTGCTTCCGATGACAGGTCAATTCCTTCTCGAAGATCGAAGGGCTGGATGGCGTTGAGGCCAAAATGGAATGCAGTCGATGTCAAACGCGCTGCACCTGAAAAGAGTTCCAACAGGTCGATCTTCGAGTCATACTTTACAATGTTGATATAGGCAGGAATCTTGTCATACGCGGCCACCTCATTCTCGTAGAGACGTTGGTGATGCCGAAGGTGTCCGGTGAGCCACGAGTAGCTGCCTTTCTTCATATCAGATCCCATGCGTACTCGTCCACTGAGTCCTCCTCTACTAACTGCTCCTTCTCGGGTGACTGGAACAGCTCGGAGTCCTCCTCCTCTTGGGGCTTGCGACGCTTCGAGGAACTGCGACGTCGACTGGCCATCTTGCTGATGTTGAAGTACTGGGTCTTGGATTTGGCCCGAGGTGCCATCAAAGGAGGTCCCAGTGGTACCATACTTGAGGATGCCGATGTGCTCGTCAGTGGAATCGGTGGCTTGTCCGCCACTGCTCGTGCCTCTGCTGTTGAAGATGGCATCATAACCACCGATGAGTTCTCCGAAGAGGGCAATGGCAGCGACAAGGGTTTTCCGAAAGGTGCTTCGTCCCATGCCTGCTTTTTTCTCGTTCCATGTCCACTTCATGCCGCAGTCCCGACACTTTGCATAACGGCCGTGCTTGTTGCCGCTTCGTTGAATCATCTGTGCCGGATGCTTGCAGGGCTGCATGGCAATGTCTTGCAGGCTCTGGAACGTGTCCACATTCATGGGATCCTGGTGCGCAATCCATCCCCTTGGACGGATACCCAAGTTCGTGCAGCGCAGCATGAACTTCGCCAGGGTGATCTCGAAGTCGATGAATGCCAGGGCTAGCCGCCGCCATGCTTGCAACCAAGGAGGAGGAGCTTGCCGAGGCATTGGAGGTTGAGGCCTGAAGGTCAAAATCCTTGATGGCCGCAGATTGCTGCGAACAAAGGATCAACTCAGAATCTGGATCTTGCCAAACGTCCTCTTGACTCAACTGCTTCCAAACATGTGAGGTGTGAACTTGTGCGGGAAACAAATCAATGCGCACTGCCAAATGACCATCAACCTGAACGATCGGAATCGTACACCCAAGCGCCTGGCATACGAGCTGCTGGCTTGGAAGATCGATGATCGCCTCAAGCCGGTGTGTGAGCAGGTTGTTACTAGCCAGCAAGGGGATCTTGTTGTTGTCATTGGTGTGCAGGACGCTGGTACCAACCAAACAAAGACCCTCAGGTGTGTGGTTCAACCCGGCGGGGATATAGGCATGCTTGAAGCTGTATTGTGGCTCACCATGACCGAATTGGAAAGCTTCTGACTCGTCTTGTTCCTTCAGCTTCAACCGGTGCTTGCTGAGGGTTTTGGTGTGCAGTTCAAGCCATGATGAGGAGCAGCAAGTACGCTGACATGCAGTATCTAAAACCATATACCCATTGTAACTGGCGAGGTTGGACATCAAAACCTGGGGAACGTTGGTTGAAGGTGCCCTGCATGGAGACGAGGATGCTGTGACAAAAGTGAAGTATGTCCCAAAAAGCTCTTGTTGATGAGATTCTTCATGAGGCTCCAAACAGGTTTCTTCTTTTGTCACACCATCCGCAAACTTCACCGCATACACCTTTTTGCTGTTGGCGCTCTTCGTGGCGTCTTTCGACTTGGTCTTGGCTTTGCCAGAGCCTTTGGGAGGTGCGGCTGATGAAGCCTTCTGTGCATTGGGCGGTGGTGCTCCTTGACATTCTGGATCACCTTTCCAGTGCCCAGGCTCACCGCATACGGCGCAGTGACTGGTTCT